ATTAGTGTAATAATAGGAGGTGCAACGACCTGCCTTATTATGCCTTTAAATAACTAACGTATACGACAACCACGACCACCGTACGTACACATGCATATAAAGACGTAGGTACGTACATACATACAGTATACTCACTTAGCAATCGCTTACCAGCCAACAATTTGAGTACCTACTGTGTATGTAACGCGTATGATAATGTACTGATCGTAAGCATGCATGTGTATGTAAAATACGTTCATCGTCCATACTGGTATGTACACACACAATCGTTAGCACAACAAACATCCAACAGGATCCATGGAAATTGGATTTCTGTAGAGGGTATACTGAACAACGGACTAAAAAGAGAGAAATGGGGGCTAACTGAAATGGGAATTAAAGATAGATTGTATGAATTATAGCGTTTTCTGCGATATTACCCAAAATTCCAAAAAAAAATGAGAAATTTGATACGCTTTTCGACATTGAAGGTCCAAGGAGTCTTCTCTAACTTGATGAAGTTTTATTCTGACGGCAGTACCAAGATTGGTTGGACACGCACCTCCACTCTTTCCTATCCTGGGCAAATTTTCGCATTTCCCAAAAACTAGAACAACCCGTAACCTTAACTATTTGCGAACAGTAATCTAATCTGGGTCTACCTCTACCCCTCCTACCTTCCGTTTCTGCCTCTAATATGTCTCTAACTATACCTTTATGCCTGACTTCCATAGAGTCCTCTGTTGTCCTATTCTTTCCAATACCTCTTCATCCCTAACCTTCTCTATCCACGGTATCCTCATCATGAGCCTGTAACACCACATTTCGAATGCTTCTAACCTTTTCTTTTCTTTTCGAATTTCTAAATGAACCGTTCGCGAGCATACAAGTGACTTCTTTTTATTGAAGGGGACACGATCTTGCGCTGTCGTCTACTTTATATCGCTACTACTACTTCCGTCCTTATAGTAAATGTAGAAGATTGTTTAAGGAAAAGGAAGGGAAGGGGTATTGTAATATACTTACTAGGAGGAAATAAAAAAATATACTAATAATGATTAAAAGGCTTAATAGGTAACATTTATTCAGTAAAAGAGTTCAGAAGTCAAAATCCGTATTCAGCAAAAAAGGAAATATATTGAAAAAGGAATAGATATAGGATGTAAATTACAAGATGGAAGAAGTTAGCGAATTTCAATATCTAGGATATGGGTAAATAATTAAAATAAACAATGAAGAAAAGCATAAATAAAAGATGCATGTAAAAGAGAGGTAGCAGCCATGTGAAGAAAGAACAATATGTAGCGCATCAACGTCAGAGGAATGATTAGAATAAATAATGGCAGGATCAGGAGAAGAAATAGAATGGACAAAGTGAAGGAACCGAACAACTGGGAGGATAGGAAATAAATGAGAAATATTAACATAATATTGAAAAGATGTGAGAATATCGCTCATACCGAAAGAGAATTTATTATTTTAACAAAAAAATAATGAAAACAGGACTATTTCAAATTAGAATAAAGATTCGGGCTATAGAGCCGTGGTCTAAGTGAACAATTGTGTCCAGACGTTTCGTCAGCTACTGCGAGAGATAATCTACGTTCACGTTGTCAACGCAGCACTGAGGATGTCGGCTGCAGTAGTTGACGAAACGTCTGGACAGAATAGTTCACTTAGACCACGGTCCTATAGCCCGAATCTTCATTCTATTATGGATTCCGGCCGTGAAAGCCTTTGTTCTTATATTATTTCAAATTAGTTAAACCACTGGATAATGCGTGCCTTCTTAAACAATTTTTAGATGGGTTTATATTAAGCATCATCTCCGCCGCTAAGGTATTTGTTCTGTGTTCTTTTGTTCTTACAATTGAACAGTTTATAAACTCAAAATTTCTTTTGCACACCGACCAACTTTCGTCGTTAAGCATAAAAATTGAACTCATAGTAGGAACGCAACCTTTTACCCTTATTACTGTTTCTCTTTCATCTTGTACCTTCTTTAATGGCACGTTTGAAGGATTTTATAGCGGGTGGTAAACATAAATAATAGTTTTTAAATGAGACAGGACGTTTCACACGACAACGACGCGGGCGCGTGTGTGGCGCGACACATGATACCTATACGGACGCTGTGCTGACGCCACTGCCGTTGCCGATGATGACGCCGATGATGCGTTCGGCGTCGAGTGACGGATTGCCGGGGGAAGCACCGACATGACATATTTCACAACATCGCATGTGTTAGAGCACGCCTAACGAGCACCACTTGCTTCCGTTACTAAATAAATCAACTGGGAACATTTGTATGTGAATATCGTGGTATACTATCTCATGTAGTTGTTACTCTGTGTTGTGGACTATAGTAAGAGTTTTTCCTAATTTTATTAGAGAATCATTGTAGATTTTAGTATCAGTTTTTAGGCCACTGGAACATTTAAAACCTCGACCTCAATATCCAATTTTTATTTTTAGTAGCTAGGAACAAAAATACTGGTTTGCAAGGGAAGAAAAAGTAGGGAAAAAGCGAATATGGAAACATGGCAGTGAGCGCGACGAGAAAGAAAATGCAGTGTTATAGTCGAATGATGAGGATACCGTGGATAGAGAAGGTTAAAAATTAAGAATTATTACAAAGAATTGGAGAACAGACGACCCTATGGAAGTCAATAAGAAATAGGCGAGATAGGTTAGACACCTTCTCAGGCTAGTCAGAGACATATTAGGGGCAGAAATGGGATTTAGGAGGGGTAGAGGTAGACCTAGATTAGATTACTGTTCGCAAATAGTTAAGGATGTGGGTTGTTCTAGTTTTAGGGAAATGCGAAGTTTAGCTCAGGATAGGAAAGAGTGGAGGTACGTGTCCAACCAGTC